GTACACGGAACAACTAAAATTGAGTCGATTTAATGCTGAACAATTTAAACATCACTTGAATCCAAACAGTTTAAACCTAAATTCTACCGTGATTAAAGGTATCTTGAACGCTAATTAAAGGAATCTAATGTTTCTGAATGAATCTCTTAATGGATGTGGAAGTTGTTTAAGAAACTGCCATGTGATTAGTTTTGATGGCTAAGTTTTCAACAATGTTCCAAACCCTTCAAATGATCGATAATATTTCAACAATTTGAAACAGATAAAGTTAGAGAAACTTTACGTTTGGCTATTTCTGCATCATCAAGAACAGTTAATAAAAACCCCAAAAAAAAACAAAACAAAACACTATTAACACGATTCTGTTGTTTTGTATCAATAAAAATTAGTGAACTTCACAATTTGCTGTTGCAAAAGCACGGAGGGATTGCAGCGGCAATGCGATAACGTAATGCCACCAACAAGGGCGCTGTTACGAACGATTACGATACGAATAATCGGCATATTCTTGATCCGACACAATTCCAAGATCGTATTTTATTCCATTTTAACAAACACCTCTTCAACGTAAATGACGACAATAATCACAGTGACCATCGTAACGATACGAACACTTGCAACAATCATAACAATAACAATACCAATAGGGAAAATTTCCTAACAATACGGAATCATCGTTGTACAGGCGATATTTCATCGCAAAAATAGTAATAATAATAACAATAATAATTATAAAAGTCAGTAATTTCCTGACAATAAAAATAAAAATAATAATAATAATACTGAGTCTGTAATCAACACTTCCTATAATCCTATCAAACAATTCAGAACACATACGAAAATGATCAAAACCGAACTGAACAGATCTATAAGACGATGAAATTAATCGAAAAAAGGGTCGATAAAAGAAGATAAATGATAATGATAAGCAAATATTTTTAATCTCACTCCGCTTCATGAGCGTGTATCCACTAGCTTAATGAGGTTCATAACAAAAATTAATAAAGACGAGCAAAAACGAACGATAATATATACATGAAAACATGAACAAATTTCTTTGGCGGAGAGCATTCTATTTGAAGAATTTGCATTCTTCACCACGAATCAACAATTTTGCATTCACAGGCTTCACTTTGCGTTCATCACGCATACCGACACGTTCGTAATTATTTTCACCACATTGCTGAAAGTAATAGTATTGTAATTGAGACAACGATATGATCAGCGTAAATGATCATAATATTGATACGAATATTGAGATTAGTCCTGATAATGTGGCAAAAATAATGATGAATGGTCTCGTAACATTAAAACTTGAACATCCTTCTCACATTCTTCAGTTCATTGCATATTCGAAGCGTGAATACCATTCTCACGGATGACGCAACATAACGCAATAAATAATTATTTTATTTTTACGGATTTCAAGTTCGAATTTTGAAGGTGAAGATAGAATAAAATGCCCAATTTAGATCCTATAGAAACAAATGAAAATAATAATGAAATCGTTTTAAGGGTTTGAAAGAGCAACAAATGTATTGAGATGTTTCAATATTTGAACACCAACCGAGCAAGCTTTGATTGGCAAAAGATTGTAGGAAATTGTTCTTTTGGAACACGATCGACACCGAAAGTAACGTCTGTTCGCTTTGTGCTTCACAACTTTATGTCCTTGTGATAAGCAGTAGTCACTTTGTCTATGCCAAGTATACTGACACTGAAATACACCATCAATTGCACAAAAACTCTCAGCATCAAAAAAATCACAAACCAAACTCCAACAATCACAATTCTCAAACAAACAACAATGTGAGATGAACGATGTTATGGATGACAAAATACTGATTCAAATCAATTGACGTTACCTTATTACACGTGATAACGTTACAATTTTTCACTTCCATCATTTCCGTAACAAACGTTTCAACTTTCTCCTTTTGTTGCATCGTATTGAAGTATAAATTTTCGCGATCTAATTCATCCTGAAAACCGTTTTATTTGTCAAATAAAAATCACAATCTTCTCCAATCATACACATAAGAAAACGTTCGAATTGACTGCTTAATCCATGAACAAAATGAAGCACTTATGTATAGGCAAATCAGAAATCGCACTTGCATACAAACAAGTTCAGATGTCACTATCAAACAAAGATTTATTCCTACATTCGAAAAT